CAAAGTTTCCTGCTTTTATGCCTGCACCATTTGCAGGAGCTGAGGATGAATGGTGTTCCTAGCTTGGTTCAGATGCCTGGAGAAACCACGGTGAAGCATGGAAAGCATAGATTGGACCCTTGTTTCTAGTAGCAGTTTCCTTAAAACCAAATGAGCCAGACTGAAATAGAATGACAGGGTATTCAACAGACCATCCTGTCCAAGAAAACATTGTGGTTTGTTGTGTCCTGTGAACCTGCCCTGGAAGTCCAGTCAGGCCAAAGTTGGTCACCCAAGCAGATGTTAGACTCAAAGGCAGCAATGGGAGCTTTATCCCCCCCCCACACACACACACACACACAATTGTTGCACAATGCTTGGGTGGGTAATGAGCTAGGAACTGAGAAACTAACAATCTTGGCTGCAAGATTCTATAGGCCAGGAAGGCTGAATGCAGCGAAGCAGTGATGTCAATGCTGCATTGACTCCAAGAGAATTGGAGGCCCCTGCTAAAACAGCAGTTAGTCACAGCAAAAGCATCTTTCCCCTTCAAATGGATAACACTCAGTATTAGAGGGACCTTTGGAAGTGGTGAAGCATCAAGAAGGTTCTGTTACAATGATTGTGGAATGCTTCATCCATGGGACAATGGCTTTTGCTATGCCTAACCGAGGAGCATCCACCGTACCTCAAATTTTAGTCGAAGAATTTATTCGCCAGTGGGGTGTGCCAGGCTCTCTTCATACCAGTCAAAGCTGTGATTTTGAAGCAGCACTGTTCAAGGAGTTCTGCAAACTGTTGCAAATCAGTAAAACTCAGGCAATTCCACTCCATCCCCAGTCACGTGGTCGGACTGAATGATTCAACAGGACATGCCCAGGTGTGAGGGCCGCTGTGGACATCCTTACCAAGAAATCTGGGATCTGGGTTGGATGTGGGGAGTGTGTGTGCGTGGGGGGGGAGTCCCTCCACCCCCAGCAGGGTATTTATTTATTTATATATTTACTAGCTGCGTTGTGTGTCAATGGCCTGCTGGACCTCCCTGCTCCCCCCCCCCCCCCCCCCCCCACACACACAAACACACACAGAGATCCAGGTCTGACTAGAAGGAACACTTGCCTTTCATCATGTTGACATATCACAGCAGTGCCCGGGCTTCTGCAGGTATTACCTCCTTTCCTTTTCCACACACCTATGGCACTACTTAAATGATTTATATAGATGGCACCATTTCTAATTTTAATTTCATTTATTAATTTTATTAATTTGCATTTTGTTTGACTGCATGTATATTGAGTTTTATCTTGTGTGTTTATTATAATGTTTTAACTGTATTATTTTATTAATGTTATTGTTGATATTTTTATTGCAATGGCCACCCAGAGACCACAATGCTAACTGGGGGCTTTTATAAAAAAGTAATAAATAAATAAATTTTGGATTAAAATCTCACCACAAGATACAAAAGGGACCATGGAAAGGGAATCAAAGTAAGCACACCAAATGCCTTTTCCTTTTGTATTGTTACGAGCACTCCCAATGTCCTTGCTACAATTTCCTCCTCTCTGGTCAGCATAAAAACACAAGCTACTCTTAGAAGGTCAGGAAAAACAAAAAATGCACCTGCAGGGTTTTTGTGGGCATCTCTGTAATTGCATATATACAAACTCTAAAGCACTATGTTGTATAATGCAGCCAGTGAGGTTCTCTTGGAACTGTTAATTATGCTAACAGATTGCAGGTATTTTCCCATAGTATATCTTTAACAAAAAGAACAAACATATTATTTACTTTTAAACCACATTACTGGATCAAAATTCTGGCTAAGGTGATGTTTTTCATTTAAAAAAGAAAAACACTGCTGAAAAAGGTACCCAGGCTATCCAACTGAAGAGTATAGGTCCTTCCATATTTCAAGGATTCCTGCCTGCAAAACTGTCTCTATGCATACAGAAAACTAGATGCCAAGAAAGAAGACTTGGCTAGATCCTTTCTCCCTGACAGCTAGGAAACAGATATTTTTGTATGGAGAAGACTTTGGACATATGACGTGTCTGAAGTGCATGTCCAGAAGCAGGTCTGCCACCTAGAATCATAGAATCGTAGAGCAGTGGAGTTGGAAGGGACCTACAAGGACATCAAGCCCACCCCTTGCTCAGTGCAGGTCTCCAAGTCACCCTGAGAAATGGCTGTCTGGCTGCCTCTGGAATGTCTCCAGTGTGGGAGAGCCACCAACTCCTTGGGACATTGGTTCCATTGCCATACTTCTCTAACAGTTCAGAAGTTTTTCCTGATGTCCAGCTAGAGCCTGGCTTCCAGTCACATGCTCCCATTATTCCATGTCCTACACTCTAGCACAGTGGTTGAAACCGCGGTGCTGCTGGGCTGGTTGATCAAAAGGTCACCGGTTTGAATCCGCACACGAGGTGAGTTCCCATTGCTCCGTCCCAGCTCCTGCCAACCTTGCAGTTCGAAAGCATGTAAATGCGAGTAGATAAAAAGGTACCACTTCGGTGGGCAGGTAACAGTGTTCCATGCACTTCAGTGTTTAGTCAGGCCGGCCACATGACCACGGAGACTCTCTGCAGACAAATGCTGGCTCCCTCAGCTAGGAAATGGAGATGAGCACCACCCCCTAGAGTCAGGCATGACTGGACTTAATGTCAAGGGGAAACCTTTACCTTTACCTTTACTTTACGCTCTAGCAGATCAAGAAGAGACCCCGACCCTTCTCTGCGTGGCAGCCTTTCAACCTAATCTGCTGTTTATCAAAACTAGATGTATCAGTCCTTCAGGGCTGGGGCCAGCCAAATCAGCTCACTTTAGAATTGAGGTGTCAGAGACAACACACAGTTTGTCGAACGCGATGATGAAATATGGATGCAGCATGTAATCAAGCAAAGAAAACTTACACACCCCTAATCTGTGTCCTATCAGTTCACTGCATAGCCCAGGAGATGCTCTGTGAGCATCCAAAGCTGCCTGCACAACCATGTGTCAATTCATTTCTCCACGCTGAGAACAAATCACAGCGCTTCTCACCATGGATTTTATGAAGTTCCTCTCTCATGTTCTGGAGCTGCCAGTGCATGCCGGCCCTAGCACCCCTTCATGGGAGACAGCGGAGCAATGAAGCCGCTCCTACAAAGCAGACAATTCAATTTCTCACAGCTCAGGAATCTGCTTGGGGAAGGCAGCACCAAGGCAGCGATCCCTGGGGCTTTTCCTAACCAGTTGAAGGCTATGTGGCTTTGGCATGGCTCCAAGAAACTATCTCGGCTTCTGGACACTGGGAAAATTCACTGCACTCCCTGCTGAACTTGGATACAGGAAGGCTTTTGGTGATTTTTCCTGGGTTTCCAGAACACAAAACACCATGGTGCTGCTTCATTTGTATCCCGCCCCAATGCTACATGTTGCCAAGCACATTTGAGTTGCAGCTCAACTACTTTATGACAAGTACAAGGAAGTTCATTACGAGATTCAGCGTTCCATTAAATAAGTGCTCCTGTTCTATTTAAAAGGAAAGGGTTACACAGGAAAGGCTTGAGACATTTTGCTGCCTGAGGGGAACAGTAAAATGGGGGTGCATGCACATGTGCATGTGGGGAGGTACACTGTACCCATGGCCTTTCAAATCATTTTGAAGCAGGAAGTACCCTTGCTGACAGTAAAGACACAGTCATCGTTACTGAAATCACAAGGAGCCTGCTTCCCTTTGCCCAGTGGTAGAGTCCCTGGGTTGTGGCCCATTTATCCATGCATCTTGTTGCCTGAAGAAAGGGCGGGAATGCCTGTCATAAGCTAAGGAATGGCCGTGCACAGGAAGCAAGGAACAGGTGTGCCAAAACTGGGCCCTTGAGCCGTCATGCTAGGTGGGACAAGAGAGGCGGGACAAAGGCAAACGGTATCACCGCTTTCATCTCTGAAATGCTCAAGGTGTTGTTGGCAGTGAGAAAGAGGACTGGTGTGAGCTCTTGTTCACAAGGACTTGATCAGAATGCTTGAATGGAAGGAACTGTTGTGCGCATGCACTTGGATGAGATTCCCAGATGCACATGTGAGATGGCTGGTTTTGTGGGAATGACAGCTCGGACTCTGAGGAGGATGAGCAGATGGCTGAACCAGACATGGCTTGGAGTCATATTCTGATAACAGAGTTGTTGTTGGGACTGATAGGCCCATGTCTGGCCAAACTTTCCCATCATGTCAGCCTGAGTCAGCTCGGGATCATAGGAGTCCAAGGACAACCTTGGGGCCCTGTCTCTCTCCTGCCTGTGGGAATGAGGCAGATGATGGACAGGAGGGGGGAGAGTTCTCAGAGAGAGAACATGATCCCCCTCAAGATGTGTACCTGAGGGCCCATCATCACAACAGCAGGCTGGACCATTTAGGGGCTCAGAGTGCAGAAACAAGACGCATACACTTTCACAGCGCTCCACCTTCCAGAGTCCAGCCTCAAAGGGTTCATAAGCAAAGCTTTGGGTAAGGGGGCAGGGGGCAGAGAGGGATCAATACTTCTCCTTGTGTGTGCTCTGAGGCTTGTGAATGCTCAGACTCCTGCGTAGAATACAGACTCTTCCAAGAATTGCTGAAGTGACTGTCTTGTGTGGGAAGGGACGCCTAGCTCACAACAGGAACTTCCTACTCACACATGGCCCTGGAGTTGATCAAGGACTCTGCTTTGGACACATAGACTTCCTTTTAGGCTTCTAGAATACTTCTGGTGGGTTTTTTAAGCATAAATGACATCAATATAACCTTAGAAATTTGTCTTGGGCATAACTGATTAGTTCTCTGTGCATGTTGAAAAACCATATAAAATAAAAACCACGAAAGGTACCTTTCTGTTGGGTCATTTGGAAAGACTCAAGGCCTCTCCCCTTCATCAGCACACACATTTGTCTAAACAGCAGTTTGTCCATTCAAGGACAGGCAAGTTCACACTACACATGGCTCAGATCTTGCTAGATCTGGGTCTTGCCATAACATAAATGCCTTGATAGCTAACAGGCACTCACGCTGTTCTTCCCATTCGTGGTCCTCCTTTTCATTGTGTGCAACATATTGCTGTGCTTGCTTGAGACTGATGTACAGCTCCTGAGCTCGGCGTTCCTCCTGGAGCCGTATCTGCTCTTCACCTCTTTGCCTCTCTTCCTCTTCTCGTCTCTAAGCAAGAGAAATTTGAGGAAGAGGTCAAAATTAGGAGGAAACAGCATGTTAGGAAAGTTTTTGCACCATGGGATACACCTCCCCAAAGCATGTTAGTAGCAAGATTCCTGAAAATGGTACTGCGACAGCCAAACCACCCCAAACTATGGTCAATGCCCCATCCAGAAGCACAGACATTGTTGGACCCCCAACTCATCTGAGCAATTGCCTGAGTCAGATTGTGGGATCCCTTGAGAAAGACACCTTAGGAAGGCCTCACTCTTGGTGGGTCTATGGCCAACAGGGAGGACTTGCATTGGAGGGATAATGGCTTGGTTCACACATCACAACAAGCAAACCTTCATGGTTTCCATGGTGCATGGTGTTCTGCTTTGCCTGAGGCTAGGTTCAGACAACACAACAAACCATGGTGGTTTTTATCGTTGTTGGTCTGTCAAATCATCTGAACCCAGTTGTAAGTTTGGTTCCTAGAGACCACAACAAGAACAGTGCTCCATTCTATGGTTTCTCTGTACAACCTCCTGCATATTGTCCAAGCCTAAGATCACAGCTTCCACAGTTCTGGTGTGCAACTATCACAAAGTCCTCTGGAAAGAGTAGCAACTTCAGGAAGTTGAAGTTCAACTTCAACTTCTCCAGCCATCAAGCATCTATGTTTAGACCAATGAGAAAGAGCCAGGCAACATAGGAAGGGAGCAATACACCATGGGACTGGATTCCAGGTACTGAGCTGATGGCATACATACCAACAGTGGGAGGGCCGAACAGGGAGGATGGAATCCATGAGAGCATGGAAAGCACTTGAGCAACTGTCAGGTACATTGTGGAGAAAAAACTGAACCATGATCACCTTGCAGCGTTGCTTGCCATGCTGTGTGAATGCAGCCACTGTTGTTTCTTATTGCGCCTTTTGAAGACCTCATTTACCATGGTGAGGTACCATGACTGGGTTAGACAACATGACAGACCAACAATGGAAACCCCACCATGGCTTGGTTGTGCCAGCTGAATCTAGCCATTGCATGAAGGTACTTCCTAGATCCATGCCCAGCACCTTTTTAGTAGACAAATATATGAGCAGCATTTTCCTAGGTGAATGTAATTTTGAGAATGTACCCCAATTCTTTTGTCATAACACTTTCATAAATCACTGTTATTCATGAGCAAACCAGATGTACAGTTGACAGCAGAAGCAACACAGAAGGTTCCCCATGAGACTGAAGGAGTCACATTGTTTCAGGAACCAAATTACCTCTTTCTTTCCGAACAGCTTTGTACTCGGCCTCCCTGCACCTTGAGGAATGCTAGGGTGTGTAGTGGGAGTTTCAGTACTGTCAAAATCTGAAACTCTTTCAGAAGATTATCCAGCATGTCTTTATGACCTTTAAGATACCAGTAAAGACTCAGGTTGCTTGACTGCTCGGAGACAAGAAATGCTTTTAAAGAGCGAACAGAGATATGGAGAATTGGCACCTCCTATTAGCAAGGGGAGGGAAAGAACAGACATACTTTGTCAAGTGTAAATAAACAAGGACAGGTGTCTTGGGTATCACAAGGATGCTTTGCTTCACACCAGCTGATGATCTTTTAAATGCTTTCTGTCCATTGACATTTCCAAAAAGATGGGGATAAAGTAAGCAATTTGCTAATTACAGGCAATTATCATAGTCAGGGAATATAAAATTGGAGCGAGTGCAGGTTTCTACCCTTGGCAAGTAATCAAGGTGCTTTGCCAGGTGGTCTGGGGAAAAAACAGTCTTTTATAAGGGCAACATCTCATTCAGTGCAGCTTGAATCAATGCTGCTAAACTCCATACTTGCCATTTATCCCGACTGGAAACTTGGAGAGCTGCTTTCCAAAGGATTTTGGTTCATGAGGCTCACAAAAGGTGGGAAGCTCTGCAAGGAAGCCAGGTCCAAACCCTCCTATGTGTATTCTTGATCAGCTCTGAGAGCAACAGGCACACAAAGCATCCTGCTTGCAACTACACAATAATCCACATAGTGGGCTTCTAGCATCCTGTCTCACTCTGCCTTCTGCCTGTTGGACTAGGCTCAGAGAGTACCGGCTGCGTCAGGAAATCTCCCATCCATCCCTCCCTCTGCATGATCTCGCTGCTCTCATACTGGCAGCTGGAATCAGTGCTGCTCCTGGTTCCCTCACCCCAGCAGTGGTGGAGGCGGCTTCCATAGAACAGCTTCATTTTTCAGAGCTCCTCATGCAACCAGCCAGGAATCGGGTCCCTCTGTTGGGTCTTGTCACCCCTGAGCAGAAGTTTCCCTTCAAGGAAAGCCTCTACCACCACTTGGAATACAGCAGAGAAGCAAAAATTGACTCTCACCCACATCTCAAACGGAGAAGTCACCAAGAAAAAGAGACAGATTTTCTTCTCCACCATCAGCACCACGGTGTTCCCAAGCACAGCTCTTGCTCTGTCTTATATGGGAGAACTGCAGGCTTTGCTCACTTGGGGGAGTGTGAAGGAAAAGCTCTCTGCTTGAAAGGCATATCCTAAAGATGTGTAGCTCATGCTTTTGCTGTAATAGCCTCCAGAAGAGGGTCTTATCATACAAAGCCCGGGTTCGGGCATGGGATTTTATAGGAGGCCCAGACATTGTCGTGCTTCCATCATAGTCCTTCTCTATTTCCCGGTGCTTCCTCCATCATTTTTTCCAGCAGGAAGCCTATGAAGGAAGGCAGGATGAATGGCTACACAGTTCTCTCTAATGGCTAGCACTAGGACCTCTCCATCTTGTAGCCCCCTATTATTTATGATTATGGACAGGTTGTGGAGGCCTTTTCACCTGAAGAGCAGGATAAACATACTTTACATGTATTCATTTGGGACAACAGGTATAGTCTATAGGGATCCCTTGAGATTTGAACTGCTGCTTTTACGTTTGGTGCTGGTGTCTTTCAGTCATTTTAATCAATCCTCTCTTGTACTGTCTGCTACATTTTAACTGGGGGGCAGTGGGTACGAGGGTGGTCCATGCTGTTTGTTTTATTATTCTGCTGCCAGTCATCACAAAACATTTTTAAAGGAAAGACAGAAAGCCTAAAATAAGATATCTAAATAAATAAATTGTAGCAGGGGGGAACAAGACCTCCAGCCACACTGGAAAAAGAAAAGAAAAGAAAAGAAAAGAAAAGAAAAGAAAAGAAAAGAAAAGAAAAGGCTGCTGCATCTTCAAAAGCAACGTGACCGGAATAGAAAGGCCACTCCTGATAGAAGCGTGGTGTTGAGGGTCACTGTAGTTACCACGTTTCTGCCTGCCATGCCGTTTGTAAAAGCACCAGAGTCCTGCTGGGGTAGATATGGAAAGCGCAGCCCCCCTCGTCTTGCTCACAAGCATGCTGTTGTCATCAGGACAGGCATGTTTCCAGCATAAGCTAATTGTGTCGCTTGTGCATCCTGCAGTGGGTTCTTCGCACACTGACAACTAGGTAATGCAATATTCATTGTTCTTGCTAATGACAGGTGCCCCCTGCCTTTCCAGCCCCACTTTGGTCCTTTCCTTTTAAACAGATGCAGTTCCTGGTTAACTTGTCAGTTTAAAAATAATGCATCAGCTAAGAATGATTCGACAGAAGAGAGCCTGCAATATCAGCTTCTTCCATCGGAAAGCCTCTGGGAAATTAATGGTGTTCTTATCTGGTTTAGGACTAGATGTTTCTTTCTTCTGCAGAAAATAGTAATAAAAAGTTGGATGAGAACAGGAGTGGCAATACTAGACAGACGTAAGGCGAGCATGGGAGAAGTGTGGAGGCAACGACGCGGCCTTTTCAAGAAGAGCTGGTCCCACTGGGTCAGTGGGCAGGCTGGTCTGAAAGTGAATTGCCCCCTTATGCTGGATGATTAGCCCCAGTCAAATGTACACCTGATCCTGCATATCAGCATCTGCTTCGTCCTGCCCTCCCTTTCCAACATGAGTTTGATCCAGAACAGATGGTTTGGTGACTTTAGCATTTTAGAGATGTCCCATGGCTATTTAAAAGAAACTAGGCTTTGCTTTTTGAAATCAATGAACCCCACATTGGCAATACCTCTAATAAGCCGCTGTCAACCTTTTCAGAGTGGGGCTTATCGCAACCTTTCCAGAAGCATTGCTGGTTCTGGGCAGTAGGGACTTTAACCCCAAATGGATTCTGCCAGGGCTCAGAAACTGCGGATGTCTACATCATCTTTTCCCATCATAGCACGCTATCTGGACAGACCTTTTCCCATGGAGGCTGGAAGGGGCACAGGCTTCAGTGGGATTTTGGGGTATTTTCAGTCCCATTTCACAGTGCAGAGCTGACACTCAGATTCTAAAAGAGGACCCAAATGGATCCTTGCCCAATCCACTGGAAAGATCCAGACCTGATCTGGTTACACTTATCATTCGTTTTATTAACACAAATGCAAACGCAAGCACAACACACACACGCACAGAGCACGCCTCCAGAGCATCTACGGCTGAATGCACATACTTCACCACCCCCACTAGGAACACGGGTACCAAAGGTCACTGATCTGAGTATTATTAAAAACAAATGGAGTTCTTTTCCATCTTAACAGAATTTTTAAAGTTCAGTTGTAGTAAGGGAACTGCCCAATGTTTTAAGGAACAGACCACAAAGGAGAATGGAACGGCGCTGGCTTTTACATTCCAGTAAGATAAATTATTAATTTTCAGCATCACAAAAAATCAGAGACAAGAAAGTTCTGTTCCACTCAGTAGGACATTACTGCTCCTGTAGTGCAAGCATTATGCCCATTTTACAGTCATCAAACAGATGCATTCTGCCATATATGGAGAATAAAGCTGTCACATTCTAGACAAGTCTTTGCAGGCTTCTCTTCTGTTTGTTAAGTTAATCAAATAACGGTGCAGCAATAAAAAACCTACTGCAGAATCCTGAGGGGGCTGGGAAATAGTTCTTTCTTAGTGAGAAAACTGTTTGCCTTTTTCAAGCATTTAGAGAGTTTTAATTAAAGTCAAAGGACAAATGT